CTGAGAGCGGCAGACCACGCCAGTGAGAGTCTCCACGTGACAGGGTGGGGAAGGGGGCTCGAGCGCACGGTGCCGTCAGTCGGGGTGGCTGGTCCGCTTCCTGTTTCAGCCACACCATCCACCCCGGCCCATGATTCTGCTTCACAACCTGCCCTACCACGCTGCTGAGCGAGCCTCCAGGGAGCTGACATCCCTGGGGGAGAATGTTTCTAAGAGGAATTCAATATAGAGTAAACCAATTCATCAAACTTTTAAAAACTAGGAGGTGGAAATGTTACAGTTAATGCTCAACAAGGATGCCGTGTTTAGCACTTGTCTGGGGCACTAAACAATGTAAACCTAAATCCAAGAAAATCACACCACTTGAGGTCCTTTCCTAGGTTAGTTGGTCAAGATAACACCAAAAGATCCCAAACAGGTTTATGCAGAAAGCGTGGCTTCTTGTTGCTCTGGGTTACAAGGAGCGTCAGGACCCAGCTGTTGAGTCTTAACTGTAACCTATACGCTACTAGCCATTCAGGTCTGTCTGGACTCTGCTCCACTTACTGACTTCTAAACGACCTTATTTCTATTTAATAATGAAGGATTTGGGATTACTTACAATTTCAGACACTGTGATTTGGTACAGTTACATGGCTTTTTAGACTTTGTGTCCCATGAACTAACAGTTACTCTATAAAGATTAAAAAAGAAAATGTATTCAGATCGTTACTCTTTAAAAAGAGAATTAGCTAAGCATCTGGTGTTTTTGAACGAATACTGAAAATCTCAACACCAGAGAGTTATAGGTGTTATTTATCGGTGTGGCACGCACATTCACACGTGGGGGCGCGAGCCTGGCCAGGTCCAGCTGCACGTCCAGGGACCCTATCGCTGTCTGCTCCCCAAGAAGCCTTCCCCGAGTTTCTTCCACTGATCTGTTTAAACCTCTACTGTGTGTGGCTCCCCACACCAAATAGCTCTTTTTATTTTTATTTTCTATATTTTCCAAAATCAGAAGAACACTAATGAAAAGTATGAATTAAAGACTAACAGATAAACGACTGTTCGCATTGTTAGAGCTGTCCAACTAGTATTACCACCAGTATCAAAGCGTGTTTTGAACGTGTCATGTGGGCATTGGGGAGCTCCCTCCTCACCGCTCCTTTGGGGATTAGCCTAGAAGCCATCTCCAAGGGCGAAGGAGGAGGAGAGGTGAGCGTGCGCTGGAGGCTGCTAAACCTGAGGCGGCTGTGGGTTAGGAAACCGGGACAAGTTCCCAAGGCCTGCTTAGAAGTGTTGCTTCTGAGGGGACTTGGGATGCTGGCCACGTGAGACGGTGGGTAGATCCTGGGGACGAGAAGGAGCACACGTGTCAAAACCCCGGCTGTGACTGGGGCTCTCCCTCCCTCCCTCCCTCGAGTTCGGCCACCTGCTCCCGGAGACGGCGTGTGCAGGCTTCGCCTCTGCAACCACTGGCTGCTTCCGGGCAGGGACACATCCTGGTCTCGGGTTTCCTACAGGAGCTGCTACAGTACTTGGCACACACAGGGCTTGCTGACAGTCCCCTGTCACCCCACGGAGCACGGGGACTACCCTCGGCCTGTGCTCCGTGCCCTCACAAACACAACCGTCTCCAGTCGGGGCTGAGGTCAGTCTAAGCCCCAGCTCAGCCCACCCTCCCCTCTGCTCTGGCTGCTTCGCTCATCAGGGCTCCGCCACTCTTCTCACCGGCTCTGCTTCTGTTTCGTGACCGCGTCCTCCCTCATTTGAAACAGCAAATGGTAACTGACTCCTGGGTGAGCTGCTAAGTGTTACTTCTTCTGGAGATGTCTCTCGTTTTTAAAATAATGTCCCCATACCATGTCACTGAATGCTATATTAATTTATTCTTCGTCTAGTCTAGTTCTCTCCTTTAGAGAGAGGAGAGTTGCCGCCTTCTATTCTCATGGGTGCCTGGAGGTGGCAGATCTGGCTACACTGCTCCTGGCCCACCCACCCTGGATCACACATGGGCTGTTCGGGGGAAGGGGACATGCGCACAGACTTCACTGCTCTTGCCCTCAGCCCTGCCTCTAAAATGGGGCACGGGGTGGCCTGGCACTACCTGTCCAGAGGAACCAAAACTCTTCTCTTTAAAAATGAGGTGGAGGTCCATGGAGACACTCCAGTGGTGACCTGCCACAATTGTGGAAGCAGAGAGAACAATTCACTGAGTACCTACAGTGTCAGGAAGATGCCAACAGGCACTGACTAAGAGATCACCATGTGGCCAGGACTGTCATAAGAGCTTCAGGGGAACACCAAAATATATATATATTTTAAAATTTACAGTGCCTGTTCTAGAGGAATCCACCAAATAATTTGGGACATGAGATGATATATACAATTGAAAAATTAGAGAACAGAAGATATTATATAATCAACTATCAAATTATATGATACTGATTGTAAATGACATAAAATTCAGGGACAGTTTAATAGAGATGTAAAAACAAAACAAACTACTTCTGAAAGAAGTAGAACTTGACATTGACTTTCAAGGGTGTGAAGTCTTTTGTTATTCAACAAAAGGATGTTTCAGTTGAAATAACAGCACGAGCAAAAACACCACATCAGGGATGAGCACAGAGCGCCTGAGGGGACAGTAAAGGGACAAGTTCCTTGTAATGGACTAAACTGGGAAAAAACTTCCATGGCTCTAATAATGTTTGACTACTCTTTTTGCCAATCTGAAGAGTAAAGGGTTAGAAGAGATCTGGACAACTCTGCCTCAGAAAAGCATTATAAATAAACTGTACCACAGTTGAGATATGACCTCATCTTTAAGAAAAAACTTCCAGAGAAGCAGACTCTTGCATATTATAATGTTCATTATGTCACCAAAAATAAAGGCCTCAATGATGTAACAAAATTCACATTAACGCCTGACTGATAATCAGATTATTGAAGCTCTGCAGAGTGACAGGACGTGAATTTTGCTCATATGATAAGGTAGCTAACAAGTTAGCCAGCTCACCACCTATCTCTAAAGAATGACGATTGGGTGAATTCACCCATATGGACTGCTGGCCGTAAGGCCCAAGCTGGCCTGCTTTTACGTCATCTACTATTTTAGAACGTTTAAACAGTATTGGGCTGACAGAATTTCCTTTCTGATGTCTTCAGACCTAGCTTGACCCTCTCATCTCGTGGAAGTCTAAAAAAAAAAAAAAAAAAGCCTAACAAAGAGGTAAAGAGGTCTAGCCAATTAGTTGTGGTTGGGAACTCATACAGAATGAGACAGCCAGCAAACAGTTTTCTGACAGCTCCCTCACCACAAATAATAAATTGGTAGAGATTCCAGCACACCGTCAGTACCATGGATGTTGAGATGAAAATCATCTGGCTGGTTCAGTGGTGTGACATCAAGTAATTATTTGCAGCAAAAAAATACAAAAACAAAGCTCATGCTGTTCCTGGCACATCATTTATAATAGAAAAATATTTTATGACCTGCATAATTCCTTCACACTAGAGAAAACCTAGTAGAGACTGGGAAGAAGGCATGGGGAGGGTGAGAAAAAGGAGAAATACACTGCAGTGAAAACTTCCTCACTACTGCTCCTCTGTGGAAACGTGTATCACCTGCAACACAGAGAAACCTCAAATGGCACTGTAGCTCTGAGCGCACACGCTTGAACTAAAGTGTTAGAAACACCAAATTCCCTTGAATGTGCTAGACACGCTAAAGCACATAGTGGTGCAATACTGTTGGCCAGATGCTCCCAGATTACAAGAAAGATAAAGTGAGTATCTTCAGGATAGTAACGTCCTGGGTACATCGTGTAATACTATGCTGGCAGCATTACATAGCAGCAGAATCCAGAGGCTGCCCACAGAGTTGTTTTGTCCAGAAACATTAAGAGCCGTGATTATAGAATCAATTACAACGACAGCAGCCATACCCTCGCTGATCCATGGCGCCAAGAGTGGAGGCAGGAGAAAAGCTCCTATAGTCTTAGTCCATCAAATTAAGCGAGAGTCATCGACCAGCTCCGCAACCAACAGCTAAGACCGAAGCAGCAAGTCACGTGAGCAACCGACACTCTTCAGCGACATCGCGGAGGTGGAGTGTTGACTGAATCCCAGCAAGTCTCCAGAACTCCACCTAAGCCTCTCACACTGCCCCGGACAGCCGTCCTCACACTGAACAGCGCCGCGCTGGAGATGTGCCTGATGGTAGACACTTCAGGAGCCCGGAGGCTCTAGAGGCTACAGTCTACGTTCCCTAAATTGCCTGCCCTGATTTCTTTCGGGTCCTCAGATGTACATCTGCATTAGGCTGTGTGCCCCAAAACTTCGGAAGGCAGGAAGAGACTGATCTCCATCACCAGCGAAAGGGTTCCGTGAACAGAAAGGGCTGCCCCATCTACTAATAGCACATGAATGTTACTCTTTAACTTGACAAAGAGTTTCAACCGGCTTGGTTAGTTTAATTAGTTACAATTATAGACATGACTTTAAAATGGCAAGACGAAGCCCCAGATAAGAGCAGCCACGTCCACCTGGAGACCGTGTGCCTCGGCCCCTGCCATTGAACGTGAACTGACAGAACAGGGAAGGCAGCGGGCAGAGGCAGCCATAAAGGCACATAAAGACTGCCGTCGACATTAAGTGACTGCCACACCATTACTTGTGTTGATGACAGCAAAAAAGAAACAGAGCAGCTAAGTTTAAATCAATGTGAACTCAAGACAGAGCTAGGAATGGCAGCAAGTCTCTGAAACAATGACAGCGGACGGTGGACGGAGAGTGGAAGCAAATGGAGGTTACAGACCAGTCTTTCCAGCAACCACAAACCAGACATGCGCAGCAACACTGTTAGTGCACTGTTGAATATAAACATCGTATTTTAGAAGTCATAAAGGTTTTCAGGTAAAGCTAATTTTAAAACTCAGGAAAAAAATCACAAATGTACCCAAGAGCCTCTTAAACTCTTACATTAAAGTAAGTGACAATTGATTGCTTTTAATCCTTACCTAGTCGAAGTTATTTTTGGTGGTCCTGGAAGAGTTGATCCCAAAGGTAAAGCAGACCCGTTGACTACGGATGGTAAGGCTCCATTATCAAGCTGTGTAAAGTCAAAGGCAAGCGTGATTTGAATTAGTATACATTTTGAAAGTTTATTCCCGTCAGCCCCTACGTACAGATAAAAATGATTCTTTTTCTTCTAGAGGTTTACATCACAATCCCCTTACATTCATCCAGGCCTTATTACCACCATGATTCTGCTAACACCTGAGCAGGTTCCAGCCGAGGCTTTTCAGCAGAAGTGGGAGGAGCCCAGTCCAGTCATCTCACCCCGCCTGACCACAGGATGCCCTGGGGTGAGAAAGCCCTGACTGTGGACAGAGACGGAAGTGGGCTATGGATTCTGGGCCGGGCCATCCACAAGCTGGCAAGCAGTACACACAGCTGTCAGTGGGCTGGCCGGCGACATTGCAACGGACATCTTTTTCATTTTGATGAACTACCAACTGTGAAATAAATTCAACCACAAATTTCTGTAAAAGCTAAAAATGTTCTTCAATTATTATTATATTCTAAGTACAACACAAGAGGTCTTGACATCTGAAGTCTCACTGGCAACCATTACTTTTTCATCTAGTCATAAAAAATTTTGTAGTCAATTTTAACAAATTCAAAAGCAATGTCATAATCTCTGCATTATCCATGTCCTTTGCTTTCTCCATTCTCATTTTCCTTTATATTATCCATTAGCATGGCTCACAGGGAAAGGAAAGGGTAGCAAAGTCAACATTGACCTAATTTTCTACTTATCAGAAGCTTGAAGAAATTTAAAGTGTTGAATAAATTTAGGTTTTGAGATTATTTGTATATATCACAGTTAAACATCCTATCCTTGTCCCTGAAAACTTGAAATTTAAAAATAAGCTTTATTTAAGAAGCATAGTCTTGGAATTCCCTGGCGGTCCAGGGAATTAAGACTTAGGACTCCATGCTTTCACTGCCGAGGGCCTGGGTTCAATCCCTGGTTGGGAAACTAAGATCCCACAAGCGTGAGGCCAAAAAAAAAAGAAAGAAAGAAAGAAAGAAAAAAGCATGGTCTTGGAAAAACACATTTTATTCATCTTCCTTCTTTTCTCTCTTCTGCCTGTTTTTAAATAGTGTGTAATCCCTGTTGGGGCCTGAAGACACTGAGAAACCACTCTGGGTCCAACTCCTTCATTACAAATCCGCCCTCCACCCCAAACCCCGAGTCCCACTGAGGAGTCACCCCCAGGACCCGCCCTCTTGGGTCTGGCCAAGAGCTGGGGGCCTCTGCTCTCCTCTCACTCACTTTACTGGAGGGAAGTGTTCACAGGTTACTGCAACTGTTTCCTTTGCAGTCACCCAGACACCTAATTATTGGGCCAACGTCTCCAGGTGGCAGTCCAAAGTTTTGCATTCTTTTGAAGAAAGGATTTCACAGTTCTTGGGGTTGAGACAATTCTTTGCATAAACCATATACAATTGCTCTTTTTCTCCTTTGCTTATTTAGCCCCAAAGTAAAGCAGAGAAAGAGAGATGTCTTTTCAGTACTGCATAGGTGGTAAATCTAGGGCAGCTTTATACTAGAATCCATGACTTTCCTCGGCAATGTCGAACTGCCTAGGATGGAAGAAATAAAACCTAAGAGGGTGCTTCCCCATCATGTCACCTGGGGATCTTGCTAAAATGCAGATTCTGTGTCAGTGAGTCTGGGGTGGAGCCTGAGATCCTGCATTTCTAACAAGCTTCCTAGTGATGCCCACGCTCCTGGTCCACACACCGCACGCACTTTGAGTAACAAAGAGCTGAAGAATATACAGAATTGGGGTTTGGCAAGGAAGCCGGGGTTCTAGGGTTGCAGCAAAGGCATTGCTAAAATAATTACCCCAAGGTCCACACTGGATAAGAGGTCGGGGGAGCCAAAATGAGGTAGGTCTAAACACAGCCAAGGAAAAGAGGGGAGGGGCAGAAAGAGGGAGACTATGGTCCAAAGGGGCCTTTCAGTGCACGGGTTCAGTGGTAGAAAGGCAAGTCCAACGTGTGCCTTGCTGACTGGGGCTGAAACCATTAGCAAAACAAGACGGGTGGTGTGGAGGAGGCAAGGAGGTAGGGGCCTACGTGCAGCATCAACAGAGACTTGCATCAGGCGCTCACAGCATCAGGCTGACACTCATCTCCGGCCCTGATTAACCCCTTGCCCCTCCTGGCTAATGGATCATTCGAGAAGTATTTATTTACTCACTCAGCAAATATTTCACTCTATTTATACCCACTGCCTCAGAGATCTCCTCTAGTCTCGTGGCTTTAAACGCCACCTCTGTGCAATGAGCCACAGCAATGAGAAGCCCGTGCACCGCAGCGAAGAGTAGCCCCCCGCTCGCCGCAACTAGAGAAAGCACGCGCGCAGCAACGAAGACCCAACGTAGCCAAAAATAAATAATAAATACATTAATTAATTAAAAAAAATACAACCCTAGACTGTCAAAACTGAAAAATTAAAAAAAAAACAAGACTTAAGGAAAAGAGCACATTTTTCTTATAATTATATTTAATCTACGCATATTATGGTGTAATCATAAAAGCGTTTTAAACTTTTTTTTTTTTTTTTTTGCGGTACGCGGGCCTCTCACTGTTGTGGCCTCTCCCGTTGCGGAACACAGGCTCTGGAAGCGCAGGCTCAGCGGCCATGGCTCACGGGCCCAGCCGCTCCGCGGCATGCGGGATCTTCCCGGACCGGGGCACGAACCCGTGTCCCCTGCATCAGCAGGCGGACTCTCAACCACTGCGCCACCAGGGAAGCCCCCTATTGTATTTTTTTTATTAAAACAATGACTCACTTGTGTAATGAGATTTAAATTTGCTGGTACTGGCAAAAATCTTCCTACTAAAGTAGTCATGGGTTTAGGGACATCTGTAAGGAAGACAATTACAATTAATTGATAGCATATATTGTTCCTCTCCCACTTGCACATGGAAGAAAGTACAAAAATGATCATGTATCCTGAGTTGGACATGTGCAAAGTCATTGACACTTATCTTGATCCTATTTATGTTTTCTATAAAACCTTTCTGGTCAATGTTTTTGGGTTTTTTTGTTGTTGTTTTTACTTATTACACCCTTTTCTTTGTCATAATGCTACTTCACTCGAGCTTCCAGGGATAGCTATGCTAAAAAATGCTGTCAGTGCCCAGGTTCCCAAGCTGTGCGCTAAGGTGCCCTCCAGTGCTGCCCTGAACTCACCAGGGATGCGCTAGGCATGTCACATTTTCAAGGAGAGCACAGCACCATCTGTAGGACGCCACATGAACTACTTTCAATTTACCTGCACTCTTCTTCAAATGGTTACTAACTAATCAGGATGTAAATACTTATTAGGCTACTGGGACCAAACTACTTAAGACTGGAACCGATAGGTATTTCTTTGGCCTCAGGGTGCCGTGCAAAACATCCCTGAGACACTAAGGTCCCTGTGAAACTCTATGTTTGAGTCAAAGTGGTCGGAGAAATGTGTCTTAGTCTCCTGATTGCCCACCAGCTGAACACATTTCCTGCTCCAGGCTTGTGCATTCTTTGAGTGATGTAACCTTAAGACTTCGGTAACAGAATGCATTTATTTTATGGTGATATTTAATGTGTGCACAGCAAAACAAAGGAGACTGGGCTGGGAGGGGCGGTTATGATGACAAGGAAATAGACTTGGAGAACATTATGTAAATCTTCCTTCTGTAGGTGATCTAAAGGCATTAGGATTTTGTCGTGTTCCAGAAGGAAGGGAATTAGGAAAGAACCCTTCTCTGCCTGTAGAGGAGCAGATGCAGCTCTGACCCGCAGGGAACGGAGCCGGAGAAGCCGTGGCTGGTGTGCAGCAAAGTGCTCCTGAAGGCGCTCTGCACCATAGAAAAGTAAATGTCTGAAAGGCATGTTCCCTGTCCCTGGATAAAGAGACCACCAGGATGGAATGGGAGTCACACTCTTTCTTTTTGCACTGGGCTCCAAAGGCCCGTTGATATGACATTTGGATGTAATACTGATTTAAATTATTGACAAGGTCCGTGAATCATCTGATAATGAGAGGCTCTGGTTAGGCCAAGCTTTAGAGTAACGCAATTATGTATACAGTACACATAGGTGCCCAGTTTTCAAGTATTAGTGTCTAACCTTTGTAAACACAATCCTAAAACTGTGTCATTTGGCCTTTCTTTAATCATTCCTAAGTCATTTGATGGTAATCAAGTACTTATAGATCATTTATTACTATCGCACCAGTTTAAAGACGTTTCTGAGTAAATGAATGGCAGATAAATCAGCATTTGATATAGTCATTTCAGAACTCATGGTGATTAAAGCAGGGTGGCAGTTCTCACTGACTACACGAAAACGTTTACATTAAAACATATGCAGTTTCTACCACATCTGAACAGTCAACCCGCCACCCAATCTGCGAAAGCTTGATGTTCCAACCCAGGTACCTCTAGCCACAGCACTCCTGGGTACAAGTAGTCACCTGGTAGGATCACAAAGCTCTCCGCAATTAGCAGAAGGAGAGGAAAGCTATCCAAGAATTTGAGATTGTCAGTACAATGTACATAAATTAATCTCTAAAGATATTTTTTTCTATCCTTAGCTCACTCATATGGGCTATGGGGATTGCCAAATTGCCTCACTGCCAATTTCACTTTTACTCTCTATACAAAGCCAAACATAGTCACTTACCAACTTCCATGTGATATATGACATATTTTTCTATTAATTTACTTTGTACCTGACTGTAGATAATTATTTTGGTCTTGATACTGAGGAACCAAATGAAGTGCTTTTAGTTCTCTTGTGCCACAATTGTCTATACACAGCATTTGTGTACCCCCTTTCAACTGACATATCACCTAAAATGAAAAATAATGATCAGGTTTCATTTTTCAAAAGATATCCAGTAATATGAACCTAAGTAAACTTATATCTGAGAACACAGTTTTAATCCAGAATTTAAGTTTTCATGGAGAGCGGTAAACTAGAGACATGTTCTCAGTTTCCTACCCTGCAACAACGTGCTCTCTGGAGGTAACACAGGGCAAAACCCCTGGGAAATGTCTTGTGAGATGTGCTTAGTGTGTTAAGAGAAGTTCCTGCTCACGCCTTTCTCTGCGGGTGTCTGGCCCTTGAGGTTTAGGGTAGGGAACAGGTGACTGTGAGCCCGAGCTTCCGTCACCTGTCCACGTGCTCCGTGGTCATCACAAACGGAGAGAGTGTGCCGATCCAGACCCGGCCCCATTCAGGTCCAGTGAACTATACGAAGGACTTTGCCCCCCTGACTCCATCTCTGTAGCTGATCAGATACTTAGAATAATCGTCAATTTTACGGCAGCTGTTCTTTCCTGCCACGTGCACATGTTATTAGTTAACATGTAGGGTGTTTTTAAAATACCCACTTATTTCATTTCCTACAAGTGCGGTTTAGAAAGGTTAACCCTAAGATCACCTAGTTGGGCTCCGACCATAAATACGTCCTCAGTGAGCCGGGTGAGTTGGCCGGTCAACCACACCAGTCAGCCCTGTCCACAGCGATGCAGCTTGAACATGAAGGTGAGAGAAGTCGCTGTTTCTGCTTGCACATAGCTTCTAATTCTGATGGTAAAACCACAGATACCCAGAGAAGCTATGGCTTCTGCTCTTAGGTTGCCTTTGGGTTTCCTAGACAGGAAAACCCAAATAACCATAAAAGATCAATGTTACCAAAATAACACACACAGAGCCTACGTTAATGAGGTGCTGATCACTGGGTCAAACCTTCAGATCATCCTGACGGTGGATAAGAGGCCAGCATTCATGTTTGGTTGGAATTTTATTTGTATGTGGAGGATAAAGTTATAGCCACAGACACACAGGTGCACAAACTGGGGGGAAAGGCTCAGAGTGGACCTTCCAGGCCTCTGCCTATTGCACGATTCTGGGCTCTGCCCTGTCCCTCCTGGGAGCCTTCTAACATTACTCAGGAGGCTGGTGGAATTGGAGGAGCTCTCATCCTGCTCACCTGCTTCAGGTGTCCTGGAACAGCTCTGCTCTCAGAACCCATGGGCCTGAGAACCATGGACAGAGGCGAGTGCTGGTGCATGCCACAGCTAAGCCAAGTGCGTGGTGAGCTCATTTTCAAGTATTTTCTAGTTACAGTATATGCCTTAGGGCTAAGGCCTCCTTTATCGGAATAAAGAGCTGATGGGGGGGACGGCAGATGTTGGCTCTCTGGGCTCCGCTAAAATAAAGCTTGGGGCTGGGCTCCCCAGCTCCCCCCACTTCCCAGTCCTCACGACACTGAGACCTGGAGTCCTCAACGTACCACTTACAAGAAGACTTTGTAACATCTCTGTTTTCTTATCCATAAAACGTAGATAAAAACAATGCATACCCTACAGAGTTGATAGAGGATTAAATGAAATTACAAACATGCAAAAATATCGCATAAATCACAAATGTTACTGATTACCTATCTTACATGCATGTGAGTTAGTATCAGGCAGGAAGGAAGGAAAGCAGCCTCTGTGCTGCAGCCACAGAACTGGAGTTTCACCATCCCAGCAACATGCCAAACCATGCAGCTCAGCCAGCTGCCCCGTTCCTGGGCCAACCGCTGGTCTGCATGGACTGATGTCACTTATGGCTTCTCTCCTTAACAAAGAGAGCGGTGTCCTAATCTTTGTTTGATTTGCTAAGATCAAGTAGAAATGAGAATCTTAGACGTGACAGAAACATTACAAAGGCTCTAATTATATCCCTCTTTTCATAGATAAGACAACCAAAAATGCTGATACGGCAAGTAAACAGAATGAAAAATAATGACTGAAAATATATTACTGTTGACTTAGTAATGGTAAGGGTCAAACATTTGATATAATGTTAGTCAGACACATTTTCTTTGGCATAATTACCATTGGGTTAGAGTCTTTCTTATGAGAGCAGCCAGAGGCATCCTCTGCTTCTTGTGCTGTTGGGAACTTGCAACAGGACTCCTGGGCCGGAAGGTTCTGAAAAGTTGCTTCCTCCAGATTGTTACTTGTGATAGTACCACCTGCTTCCTTGATTTCAACCTAAAAAAGCAAACGTTATTTTAGAAATCACATTTTGGACGTTGTACTTTACAGTTGCATAATACAGAAAATTCTTTGCAGAAGTTACTTTTTTTTTTTTTTTTTGCGGTACGCGGGCCTCCCACTGCCGCGGCCTCTCCCGCCGCGGAGCACAGGCTCCGGACGCGCAGGCTCCGGACGCGCAGGCTCAGCGGCCATGGCTGACGGGCCCAGCCGCCCCGCGGCACGTGGTATCCTCCCCGACCGGGTCACAAACCCTGCGCCACCAGGGAAGCCCCCTAAAAGTTACATTTTTAAAGTAAAGAGCAGCCTTACTCTTAGTGTCCTCTCTTCCCAACTATTATTCTCTCTCTGGGGCAGCAAGATGGGGTGACAAGTCCTCTGACCAGCCTCACTGGGGATCAAGGACCCCGAGGACAAGGACCATCTGCCCACGAGGTGTGGAGATGTGATTTTAACGTGGCCCTCTTGCTGCTTCAGAAACACAGTATAAGTAGCTTGAGAAGATTCTGCAGTTGGTCAGCTGCCCCTTGAGCTCCTCGACAGCCCCCTACTCCAAAGGAGCTGGCTTCCTCATGGGACCTTCCTTAAAACCGCGTGAAATGCTGCTCCTCTATTGCCACTTTCGGAGCACACTCACTAGGCTGTATTAATGTTCTAGTCTATTGTTTGGCTTTTCCATCAAGAAGCCTGACATCCTTGCTGATGTTTCAGTAATATTTATATTGTAACTTACAATGTATTTAGAGTAATGCTTATAATTAAATAGTAGCGCTTCCCTAACTGAATGGTAGGACAATAATTAACATGAAAACAGTGAGGGTAGGGAATAACTGCCAACTTTAACTTTGTTTTTAAGCTATCCTCTGCAACGACTCAGTGACACACTGGCAAAATTACCAAAAATAGGGAGAGATACCAATGATGTTACTAAAAATCAACAGAATTTAAAAAACTAAAAAGTCTCGATGATTAAAAAAATAATAACCATTAGATTTAAGTGTTTTAAAATCAAGGTGCTTCTTTCTAAGATTTGATAATGTGCGGAGGATTGGGAAGCGGCAGTCAACCTGCGCTCACATCATCTCTCCCTCCCCTCCTTAACCTCCACCTGCCCAGACTGCCTATTAGAGAGTACAGGTGAGCTTCCTCAGAGGCCAGGAGGCAGGTCATAAAGTCCTTCAAAGAAGAGTGATTCTATGGTAACTTTCTGAAGACCTCATATAAAATCACAGCACAGACAACTATCTTTCAAAGTGTGGGTGTTGACTCCAAACTTGGAGATCGTCTAACTTAAAATCTGGGATCTAAACGATTAATAGTTTTCATGGACTGCCAAATCCCTTAGCACAGCAGACTAGCATCCAGGTTTAAATGTTTCAAAAGACCGAGGAAAGTTTAGCTATATTTCAAGTTATAACTTTATTTAGATATTTCAAATTTTATAGAAACGTAGAAAGTTTTCAATTTTCCTCTGCTTTCTGCTTTGGGGAATTTGTCATGTACACATCATCAAAGTTTATTTTTATTTTTAAAATTTATTTATTTATTTATTTATTTTGGCTGTGCCAGGTCTTAGTTGCGGCACGCGGGATCTTTGTTGCGGCGTTGGAACCCTTAGTTTCGGCAGGCATGTGAGATCTAGTTCCCCAAGCATGGATGGAACCCAGGCTCCCTGCATTGGGAGCACGGAGTCTTACCCACTGGACCACCAGGGAAGTCCCACATCATCAAAGTTTAGATTTAACTTATCTCCCTGTAATTAACAAATACTTATACAGTAAATATATCAATTCCTCAGCCCCATGCAACTGATATCTGAACTACTTACAGTATAGTAAAATCCTATTTTTACAGAATAAACAGAGGTCAATATGTGGGAATGAATTTCTAGAAAAAGGAAATTAGCAATTAACTCTGAATATTTACTGAAAAATAATTCCACTCTGTTTAAAAGACAAACATGTCCATGCTAAATCTTTTTCATTTTATTAATGAATTAGGAAATTGTCAATAAAAATTCAAAAAAAACCAAAGAAATATCATCCAAATAGTCTCTCCTTTATTTTGCTAAAATTGAGTTACATTTAAAGAGAATTTACTATTTTAACGTGAGCTAGTTCCTTTCCTGCTCTGGTGAATGCTCACTGAGTCCCCTTGGTACAGGAAGGGAGCCATGCTAGAACCAACAGGCAAAAGGTGCTGGGACACACGTTTGGTCTGGTAGCAAAATGGAGTGTCTGACATTTCAAGCCATCTGAAAAAGATTCCGAGGAAGACCTCTGCACCAGCTGAAAGCTGGTGGGACTAGCTATGCTCTCTGGTTTCTCTAGGCCTCAGCCTCTCCTCCCCACCTTTCCTGTGCACTAAGGAGCAGTGATTATGCTCAAAGAACACCAGAAAACAAATCTAAGCTCCTGCTGCTACGGCTTATGATACGCAAACAAAGTCAGGCTCCAGCCATCTCAACACCAATTCAAAAATGTTCCACAAAAGCTTAATTTATGACTTACTAAAATGATTTAACAGCTGAGTAATCTAGTTTTCCAAACTAGATCCTTTTGAGGGGCCAGTACACATTTCCTTACAATCCTTTGTTTCCTTTAAAAACTGATTTGTTTAGCTTCAGCAAGAACAGAGCAGAAAAGGGGAATTCCCTGGTGGTCCAGTGGTTAGGACTCTGTGCTTTCACTGCCCAGTGTCCGGGTTCAAAATAAAGAGATAAACAAACAAAGCAGAAAACTGCCAGTAGTTATCCACAGCCAAAGAGGGTAGCTGGCCGACAATTACCATGAATTCGTGTAGACTCTGATTCATATTACATACGCTTGAGGAACAACCACTTATTAGCAGAGGGAAGCTCTAACACCTTGATTTCAAGGCTCATGAAACACAAGTACTAACTGTGAGTCCTGGCTGTGAATTACAACCCTTATCAATCTAAAGGGGAAAACTGTAAAAGCTGAGCACGTGAAGACTCCCACTGCATTTGTTTTCACAGACACTAGGGTTTCTTTCCTAAAGCCGCTTTTAAAACTTTCTAGGGACTTCCCTGGTGGTCCAGTGGTTAGGGCTCCGCGCTTGCACTGTAAGGGGCACAGGTTGGATCCCAGGCTACAGAGCTAAGCTCCCACATGCCTGGCTGCAAAAAAAACAAAAAAAAGAAATCTACTTGTTTCCCTCCTCTTTTGTTGTATGATCTCTGCTGGGTTAGGCCAGGTTTGAACCAGGGACCGAGGACCTAATTCACCTTCAGGTAGAATGGCTTGGCTGGGTAATGCATCTCGCGTTTAGCAAGGGATGTGCCCTGTTGGGAATGAGTGAATCCGATCAGGGATGCTACTGACACGAGAAAAATCTTGGTAGAAGCAGGAAGTCTCCCGTCTCCACTAGGGCAGGGGTGCAAGGGGTACTGTGAGACGTGGATCTTACTGGAATCACGCGGACGCCGGGGTGGGCGGCTCCTTCCCTGGCCCAGGTGCCCAGGGGCCCGACGGCAGGACTCCTGTGCGGGGTCAGCAGGGAGGACAGGAAGTAGAGGTTGTAGGCGTGCGGCTGCTGGGCGGCGGGAAGAACGGCGTCTTCCAGGGGATTGAGCTTGGGAAGACTCGGGAACTCGCCGCGCGTTTCCTCATCTCCGTTCTCATCCACCAGCAGCTCCACTTTGACTTTGCCCTTGCAGTCCCCGTCGAGCGGGGCGTTGAAGGCGTGCAGCAGGGGCTCTTTGGGGTGCGCGGAGCCCAGGTACGTGTCTTTGAAGACGTAGAACTCGTCTGCCTCGTGCTTCACCGCCACCGGGGTTTTCAGGGGAAGGTTTTCAGGAACAAACTGACTCTCGGCGCTGAAAAGGTCTGTCACCATCTCGTCCTCGGGGCTGCACATGCCGCCCAGCAGAGGGGCCTCTTCCATGTCCACTGGGGGCACCCGGGCCCGGGCATCGCCCCGCACCCGGCGCGAGGGGGATCCGGCGGGAACCGCACACCTGCAACGACGCGGCCCAGTCAGGCGGCGGCCCCCACCCGCCCCGGCCGCCGACCCAGGGGGCCCGCCGCTCCCGGGGATCTGACCCGGGGGGGCCCGCCGCTCCCGAGAGGCCGGCCTAGGGGGCCAGCCCCCCGCCCCGCACCGGCGAGGCCGACCGGAGAAGGGGCCCTGCTGGCCCGACCGGCCGACTGGGGCTGAAAGGGGCGGGGGTCCGTCATTCCCGAGGGGCAGACCTGGAGGTCCCGCCGCCCCTGACGGGGACGACTGGAGAGGGGGTCCCGCCGCCCCCTCGAGGCTGACTAGGGGGCCCACCGTCCCCCTCCCCTCTGCAGACCCGAGGCCGGGCCGGGGACCGCGGGGAAACCCGACGGCGGCCGGGGTCTCAGGCACAGGAGGGGCGCCGAGTCAGGACTCCTCAGACGGCGCACCTGTGGCCCCGGGAGCTGTTAGAGCGCCGAGCGCGCGGGCGGGGCCGAGCAACTGGCCGTTGGGGAGGAGGCGGGGCCACGGACTGGGGCAGGGCCAGGGGCTCGCGGAAGCGGGGCTCGCGGAGGTGGGCGGGGCCAGGGAGAGGCGGAGGCGGAGGCGGGGCACGTGAGGCGGGGTCAGAGGGTGGGAGAGGTTGGGGGCGATGCGAAGGCGGGGTGCAGAAGTTAGTGCGGGCATGGGCGGGTCCCGGAAGTGCGAGGGGATAAGCAGGGATGGGGGCGGGGGAGGCGGCCCCCGTGACAGTGCTGGAGGGTGGTGGGCGGGGCGAGCTGGGCGGAGTCGGGGCCGGAGGCCAGGGACCGGCCAGTTGAGGGGAGGTGGACGGGGAAGGACACTCCGGGGACCAGCAGCTCCAGGCTCAGGTGGGGAACCAGAAGCCCCCCAGGCCAGTCTGAGGCAGCGCTGGCTGGGACTCCCTGGCTTGACCTCAGACCTTAATCTTGACCGTGTATTTTTTCTGCCCTTCAGCTCCTCAGGACAGAGCCCGCCCAGCCACGGAGCACCGCGGGTGGGTGGACGGCCAGGGATCGGCACATGCAAGTTCCCAACCTAGCGTGCACTTCAGGTCCTTGGTGCTGGAGCTTGGGAGGAAGACTAGGCGTCTCTTGTCAATGTAAGCAACCCAAGGACTCCGGGCTTTCACTGCCAAGGCCCAGGGTTCAATCCCCGGGTTCAGTCCCTGGTTGGGGAACTAAGATCCTTCAAGACCCTCGGCGCGGCCAAAAAAAAAACAAAAAAAAGTAAGACATTCGCTTTCTAATCTCACTGAAAAAATACGTTCCTAAATCAAACAGTAGTAACCAAGGCACACCAGCACTATTTGGCTGTACACTTCAGCGTTCAAGAAATCGCAAGAAAATTTTGCGCAGTCGACAATCCGGAAATTTAAGGCACAGCTTTAAGTTGCTGGGACTTTCTTATCTGAAAAATTATAATGGGACATTAAAAGTTGACATTAAAAGAACATAATGTAATTAAATTCTCACTGTTGGAATTTTCCTACCACGTGAACGACTTAAAATATATTCCCAGCCACTAGTTCATTGCAAACATACTTGCCTTGAAATACTGTCCAGTTCTTGGAGAATTCATTTCCTGTGTGCCTATGATCTATAGGGCAGGACTCCATAGAAAGCTTTAGTTGCTTCTTCAGATTAAAATTAGGACAGATTTTTTCTTTAGTTATACAGAATGTCCTTAATTTAGGGTTTTTTTTATAGTAGGTCCTTGTTGGTTATGTTTTAAATATAGCAGTGTGTACATGTCAATCCCAAACTCCCAATCTATCCCTCCCCCACACCCTTCCCCCCAGTAACCATAAATTCCTTCTCTAAGTCTGTGAGTCTGTTTCTGTTTTGTAAATAAGTTCATTTGTATCATTTTAATTTTTTTTAGATTCCACATATAAGCGATTTCATATGATATTCATCTTTCTCTGACTTACTTCACTTAGTATGATAATCTCCAGGTCCATCCATGTTGCTGCAAATGGCATTATTTCATTCTGTTTAATGGCTGTGTAATATTCCATTGTATATATGTACCACATCTTCTTTATCCATTCATCTGTCAATGGACATTTAGGATTTTTAAACTTTATAATGGTTGGAAAGTGATATGCATTCAGTAGAAACCACCGGACGCGCAGGCTCAGCAGCCATGGCTCGCGGGCGCAGCCGCTCCATGCCATGTGGGATCTTCCCGGACCGGGGCACGAACCCGTGTCCCCTGCATCGGCAGGCGGACTCTCGACCACTGCACCACCAGGGAAGACCCAAACTTCAAATTTTGAATTTTGCCCTTTTCCCAAGCTAGGGATATGTATGCTCCCTTCTAGTGATGCTGGGCAGCTCTCAGACACGCAATCACAAGGATAAACAGCCGATACATTTACAACCATTCTGTTTTTCACTTTCAGGACAGTATCAATAAATTCCATGAGATAGTCAACACATTATTATAAAATAGGCTTTGTGTTAGATGATTTTGCCCAACTGTAGGCTAATGTTAGTATTCTGAGCACATTTAAGGTAGGCTAGGCTAAGCTATGATGTTTGGTAGGGTAGGTTTATTAGATGCATTTATGACTTACTGTGGGTTTATCAGGACTTAACCCTATCACAGGTCGATGAAGACCTGTATAGTACATAAACCCTCCTACCGAAATAATTAAATATTACAGATAAAGCTGAAGTTCCCTTGGGTTCCATACCATCCACAATCACACTGCCTTTCAAAGAGGGAATCCCTATGAAGTCTGCTGTGTATCTTTTCAGCCCTTTCTCTGGAGATCAACATACACATGTGCATGTGGATCTCCTTACTCTTTTTTTTTTTTTTTAATTTTATTTATTTATTTATTTTTGGCTGTGTTGGGTCTTCGTTTCTGTGTGTGGGCTTTCTCTAGTTGTGGCGAGCGGGGGCCACTCTTCATCGCAGCGCGCGGGCCTCTCACTGTCGCGGCCTCTCTTGTTGCGGAGCGTAAGCTCCAGACGCGCAGGCTCAGTAGTTGTGGCTCACGGGCCTAGTTGCTCCGCGGCATGTGGGATCTTCCCAGACCTGGGCTTGAACCCGTGTCCCCTGCATTGGCAGGCAGATTCTCAACCACTGCACCACCAGGGAAGCCCTGGATCTCCTTACTCTTAATTTTATGGCTGGAAAAGCCACATCTTTTTGAACTCAGCTGAGTTTGGGGGCAGGCCTGAGAATGCAACTCAGGCTTCCCAAACCGTAGGCAATATAAACTGAAGAACCCAAGTGAAAAACCGTGAAGAGCTTGAATAGCCTGAGAAGCACATCAACCCCCAGGCCGTACCGCTCACTCCTTCACACATCAGACATTTCTAGTGAGCAGTCCCCATGGGTCAGGCGTGCATGGCCATCTGTGTGTCACCATGCCGGGCAGGATCAAAGGCCTGGAACCTTTGAGCACCTGCAGTTCCGAGATGCTCCTCTGGCCCTGCTGGATTGGCCAAGGCCAGCTCTGTCTTGTCATTCAGGTCTCAGCTCAAACCCATTTTTTTTTTTTCCGGCCATGCGGCTTGCTGGATCTTAGTTCCCTGACCAGGGATGGAACCCGGGCCCCCTGCAGAGGAAGCGAGGAGTCCTAACCACTGGACCACCAGGGAATTCCCCCAAACCCATTTCTAAATCAGCCTCCTCCCTAAGCCAGCTACTCTTCCCCCACCCCATACACACACACATACAAGTGCCCAGGAACCCTTAAGATCCTTTGAGAGGTTTCCTTGGTTCTTAACCTCCTCCCAATGAAATTTGATCTCCACGACAGCCAGAACCTTTTGGGGTCCCCGCTGTATTCCCAGTGCCTAGAACAGAGCTAAGCATACAGTAGGTGTTCAGTAAGAACTGTGGAGAAAACAGAATTCATGTATTTAACAGGTATTTATTGAGCACCTATTATGTGTCAGGTACTGTTCTAAGCCCCGGGGCAAGGGTGAGGATGCACAAATGAACACAGCAAAATCCACAGCCCTTCTTAGCAGCCACCCTTCTCTGTCAGGTGTGTGAATCGAGCGATGTCCACTCTGCCCAACCCGAGGCCTTTTCTGCATATCTTGGTCGGTCACCTTTGTCCCAAGTGCCTGGTACTTGACCTATAGCCTCCTTATCAGTATAACAAAAGAGACAGAAAGCAATACTGTGGTAGACTGGGATTAATGTTTTTATTAATGATAACATTCATACTGCATTTCTAAGATTTATCCAAAAAAGCATATTGTATTTACATGCAATGGCCAATTCAAGATAACAAATTCAGATCACAGCTCCGTTAAGACTATGGCTTATTCCAAATTCAATTAAATACATCATACTCCTACCTCCTGCTTTCAACATGTACAGTAAAAACCCACTCTTCCTCCTTTTAGGGAATATAAAATTGCATTGATAACTGCACGGATTAGCAGTGATTACATTTGAAACACTTAAAACCTGAGAGACAAGCCCAAATAAGTCTGAGTGCTAACACGTCTGTGCTCGAATTCACCTGTGAATCATAATACAGACTGGTCAGTGGTCAACAGTGTATGATTTCAGTGGCCCTGGCTTCGACTGGAAGCTACGCCTCACTGAGGCCAAGGGGCTGTACCCTCACGCCTCCTTGACTACATAACACAGATGAACAGGGCCTTTTGTTGCTGTGGTGGTTAGATATCCCTTTTTGCTTTTTTTTGTCTGTTCTCATTTCTGCTTGCTTTTAAAAGAAAAAAAAAGTCTTTGGCCCATTTAGGTGGGGTTTTTACATCACAACATGTACAGGAATAAAATATGCATGTGCTCTGCAGCAAGCGCCTTCCTCTGGCTCCAAGGGTTCGGCCTCGTCACCGAATCAGTGGAGTTCAGAACTCTTAGAGAGGCGAGCCCCACCAGAACATAGTGGTCAGAAAAATAAATACATGATTTTAACAGATGGACAGCTAAGCTGGTCATTACAGCCTAGAGGCAGTGGGTATTATTTCATTCCATGATCCGTTCTTTTTACATTAAATACTGAAGACGATTCAGCGCCTCATCGCTTTTTGGTCACTCGATCAAGGCACTCCCATCCGAAGGGTAGGCTGTGTTAAACCCAGCACCTGTCACCTGCGACATTCTAGGAGGTCACCGATAACCCATCTCCCTCCATCTCCCTGGAAACGGGAGTAGGTCTCCTCTCTCACCAGCTGGGATGCCCAACCCTGACTGCCCTGAGGTTTGCTTTTCTCAAGTTTTGTTCCTACCTCAGTGGCAAATGTCGCCAGTTTGGGTAAGCAGGAATCCTGAGGCACCTAGGATGTTTGATTTTTCAGTGAGTACTCCAGACACATAATCTT